GGAAGAGGGGAGGGGCAGAGGGAGAGGAACAGAGAGAATCTGAAGCAGACTTCACACCTAGCACAGAGCCCAACACAGGGGCTCAATCTCACAACCCTAAGATCATGACCTGAGCCGAAATCAAGAGTCAGATGCTTAACCGATTGAGCCACCCAGGCACCCCTGCTTTCTAATTTTTAAAAAACAAGGTGAATTGGGTTATACAACAAGCACAGTAAATAATGAAATCTAGGTACGTAACATCTGCTTTTTAAAAGACTGGAAATAAGGGGCACCTGGTTGGCCCAGTCGGTAGACCATGCAGCTCTTGATCCCAGGGTTGTAAGTTTGAGCCCCATGTTGGGTTGTAGAAATTACTTAAAAATAAAAAAATCTTGAAAAAAAAAATAAAAGACTGGAAATAAGAATATGAAGTGTCACTGCTCATTGAATATAAACTTCACGTCAAAATTATAAATCAATTCAAGATGGCTATCAATGAAAATAATGGCAAAAAAGTTTGTGTGAGATTATCAAAAAATAATCCAAAGTTGTTTCAAAAGTTCACTTGAGTATGATTTTTGCTGAATTTGTCTTGCTCGCCATAATACTTATTAAACAAAACAATTTCTATACCAGCAGCTTGTTATAAAATAATGAAAACATCCCTTCTGACAACAAATCAGAGTTAACTCTTAGTATGCCAACTCTGGCTATCCAAATTTAAGGAGCCAACAGATTTGGAAATTTCTGAGATAGAACTGGTAACCTCATTAACCAAACCCTTGCTACTTGTTACTAAACTCAGGAACTGAACAGATTCAGATAATGGGCTATATCCCTAGCTATATGAATTTATAGTCCAAACTTCCTCTGTTTGCACTTAGAGACCCAATGGATTCAGACATCAGGAATACTTGAATTTTATTTATTTATTTTTAATTTTATTTTTTGTTCTTTGGTTTATTCTTTGTCCACAAGGATTTTATATTATAATTTTTCCCTATGTACCACATTTAACATTTTTCCCATGCTATTACATAGTTCTTATAAACATAATTTTATTAGTTAATATCCCCATTGAGGGGACTGCTATAATTTACATAACTTCTGCTCTATATCTGAACGTTTACTGGTCCATTTGCCTCTGATAACTATGACACAATAAAAATCTCCAAACATCTTTTTCTTTTTTTTTAAAGATTTTATTTATTTATTTGACAGAGACAGACAGAGAGCACAAGCAGTGGGAGCAGCAGGCAGAGGGAGAGGGAGAAGCAGGCTCCCCGAGGAGCAGGGAGCCCAATGTGGGGCTCGATCCCAGAACCCTGAGATCATGACCTGAGCTGAAGGCAGACGCTTAATCAACTGAGCCACCCAAGTGCCCCTCCAAATATCTTTTTCTTAATGTAAAATAAATATCATTCTATATTATAACTACAGCTAAATATTTTACATATTTTATAATAATATTTTAAATTATTTTTCAAATTGTAACTTAGTCTTTTTTTTGATAGTTCTCTGTTCTTATTTCTTTGGGCTCAAAATACAAGTCACAAAAATTTAATATAAAAATAACTTACTAAAAAATGGTCATATGTAATAAAACGAATATAAAATCCTTCTCCTAAAGATTTATATTTTAGACTCTATATTCTGTTTTTAGTTGGTTTCAGTGGGTACCAATTATTTTGATCTAAATCCCTGTGTCAATTTCCCATAAAAGTGAAATTTAGTAATCAGAGGATAACAAAAACTTGGATTAATCTTTGCTCTATGAAAAAGTTTTAAAAGACAAAGAAATATGCCATATTTATTAAATAATTTTCCTCAAAATAATACCAAACTGACATTCAACATTATAGTCTCTAAAATGGACAAAAATAGAAGCTCTTCTAAAACTATTAAATGAAATTCCAGGTTTCCTTAAGGCACCTCTAAGGAGTGTAACATTTGATCTACTGAGTTTGTCTGCTATAATTACCAGTCGTGACCCTTACAAGCCTCAAGTGCTCCTGAGATTGTGTGTGTTGGGAGGAGAGAGAATGACATATGCTTGCCCGTCTACAAGATGAACTCATAAGCATAAAAAATGGGAAGTCACTCATTTAAAAAAGAGAGTGAAAAGGAAGAGAAAAATGCTCAACAAAGTGTATTGTATGTCTGGTAGGAAAAAGTATAGATGTCATCAATAAATGTTTATTACACATAGTGACCTTTAATTATCACTAAGACCAAAAGAATTATCATAACCTCATGATTTAAAATAAGCAGTCACGTGATTTTCAAGTAAGAGGGAATTCATGATACTTTCACTCAGAATTCAGCAGAGGTCCAAATCACCTCAAAAGCCAACCTATCTTTATTATTAAAGATAGCCTTCCAGGGGTAGTAGGCAGTTGATGTCAGACTGTAGGACAATCTATTGCTACTCTTTCCCTAGGAAGGTCCTGCTACCCTAAGGGCCATCTTCAGATCTGAGTGCCCAAATGAAATCACTGTTTTCCTGACTTCATTTAATCATTTACGAAATTTATTTAAGAACTTCAAATGCAAATCTGTGATAGAACTAGAACTTAAATAAAACAGGCTAACGTTACTACTACCTCTTAAGTGTCCACACAGAAAGTTTAGGTGCTTGACATTCTATTTTATTCCCTGCTCAACGATAATTTTTTATTTAAAAGTTTGAAACTTCCTCTTTTTTGTGGGCAATATGAAATCCATCTTTGAAGGCAAATGCCACAAAAATAATTTTCTCCAAAGAGAGAAGCCGAAACAGTATGAAAAGTATTGCTGCTGTCTGAAGATGGCCCTCAGTGCACTTCTACCATAACAAACACATTGAGATCTTCATTTTTCCTCTCATTTTTCAATTTTTGCCCCTGACTTCATTAAAATCAATTTGAAAAATACTCTGTACTCACTCTGGCATTCTATGAATTGATGAATAAAAGTGCAGTCCCCGCCACTCTTTGAAAGCAAGTGCTCTAATAAAGAAAGAAACACCTTTAAGGATATAGTTTGTTGCTGTTTTTGAAAACCAACAGCAAAGGTAGGAAAACTGAAATGTATTAACATGAGTAACTCTGAATAAGATTCATAAAAGTTTAATATATTTTTACTATTAATAGCAGACATATTTCGGAGTTAAATAAAGCCCAATGACTGAAAACTGTTATTATATAATCATTGATTTATACCCTGAATGGTTAGCTTTTAAAGGTGCAGTTTCTATCCAAAGAGCTCAAGAAAACCATAGATATATTGCTTTAAAAAGCTTCTCCCACTTTTAAAATACACCTTTCTCCATGACAGCTTAATAAACACCTGTAAATAATTTTTATATTTTATTATTTGTTCTTACTGATAACTGTTTTCTAAAAGTCCCTCTTCAAAGCTATTTTTTTCTTAGTTAAGAGGCAAAAGATAAATATTTTAAGAATACCATAAAATAATGCCTTAACATTTTAAAGACACTGATGCAACATTTCAATTTTTAGACTTTCATTTCACAAATAACCTTTCCCTTTGAGTCATTTAATCTGTACTTTATATACTCTCAAAATATTATATCGTTTATCTCCACCCAAATGATTAAAGTCAATGCCTATACATTTTAAAATAAGAGCCTGGAAAATGGTTTTCTCAGGTCAAACAATTTGTTTTGTTTTGTTTTAATGAGGGGAGAGAATCACAACCTAACAGGAGTTAAGAAAAGTTTCAACCCTTTTCTTACAATAATCTTTATTTACATTGATCCAAAGAGTTAACTTCTGAATTTGGATAACATCCTTCAATTATATCTCCGGATCTTTCAAAACTACTAAAAAGACTTTGGAAGTTCAATGTTAAAAATATATCCCAGTATAATGACTATCTGGAAGGTGTGAAAGCACTAAAAGCTGTCAAAGAGGACATGAGTTAGTACCACTTGGACTGTGAAAGCCTCTTTTCTCCTCATTTCAACCCACCTCACCCCTCATCATCTCAACTTTTGTTTGAGAGGCAGGCATCTCCTACTCTGGTCACATTACAACTTCTCTTGACATCCTTATTAATGCCATCTCCTTTACCTTCCTACTGAAATCTGTCATTCTCCTTTATCTATTTACATGGTGTACAGAGCCTCCGGTCAACAGTTTTACATATGTATACATACACACACACACACACACACACACATAATATGCTGTGTATAGTTGCACTACACAGAGATACAATATAGCCCCAAAAAGAAAAAGGAAAAAAAGGCTAGTTGCAACAGTAATTAAAAAAAAAAATCTAATAAATAGCATTTGCTAATTGGAGACAAGAAATCCAAAACAGGAGCCCTCAGTTAAATAGTAATTACCATGATCAACAGTTGTTTTATATAAAATCCTACCTAAGCTATGGTAACATTTTCTGAACTCCAACTATACAACAACATGGTTAAATAAGAAAACTCATTTGAAACCAAATTTTAACCTAAAGGACTGAATAGAACTTATTTGAAACAAAAATTTCAGACTATCATCACAGGACTTTAGATGACATTTATTAATGTAGTACATCCCACCATTACTCACTAAGCCCCAAATCATCCTTTTATCTACTCTGATTTTAATATCTGGACTCTAGATTAAAATATTTAAAATACTAGTTTAGATAAAATGCAAGATTAATATAAAAATATATATATGACTTCTACAAAGGCATTTTCTAAGATATGAGAGATAAGTCTTTCAGCTAGTATATGTAAAAGATTTGGATCATGACACTTTTCATACTTCATTACTTGAATTCAGCCCCTTGGGAATTCACTTTGCCAACCATAAAAGATGTCCCTGATAATGCAAAAAGAATCAGATACTTAAGGTAGGGGGGAAGGGGGAGGAACGTCTAAGATCCCAAATAGGGCTGTGGAAATGTAAAGAAAAGACAGATACAGAAATAAAAGAGAGAACTGTGATACTTAAAATGTGTTTTATTTATACACTAGTTTCCTATAAATTTTGATTTTCTATACTATGTGTGCTGTCCAATACACATGCTCAATACACATGTGGCTACTGAGTCCTGAAAAAATGGCTAGTTTGAATTGAGATATGTTGTAAATGTAAAATAAATATATACTGGTTTCAAAGACTTACTAAGGAAAAAAGAATGTGAAATACTTCATTTATAATCTTTTAATATTGATTACATGTTAAAATAATATTTTTGATATAGGGAGTTAAAGTAAATATATTATTAAACATTATTAAAATACATTATTAACACTTTACCTGTTTCTTTTTATATTTTTAATGTGGTTACCAGAAATTTTAAATTATATATATGGCTCTCATAATATTTCTATTAGTGCTTTTCTATACTAAGACATATTCAAATTATGCTTATCAGATAAGATACAAAAAAATTTATAGTATAAAACCTGTGCTTATAGCAGCTACTTTAGATTTAAGTAATTTCAAAAATAGAGTTTACTAGAGAAACAGCATTAATCTTAACATCTCCAGATATTTTTAAAATACTCTCTTAAAACTATACTTGGTTCTCTACTATTTAAAGAGTAATTTTAGATAAAGTCATATCTGATAGCATACTGTGGCTATGGACTTTGGTAATACTGGAATGCTTGATAACTGGTTTGTTATTATATAACAAATGATTCAGAACAGACTCATCTTATTCCAAAGTCACTCTGTACTAAATCTGGTATAATGAAGTTTTTGTGCATTATCAAGATATTTACTATCCCGTTTTGTTAAAGATATACTGTAGGTCACTCTCACACCACTCAATTTAGCACCACTAAAAATCCAAACACACCAGCAGGGATAAAACAATCATGGTAAGGGGGGGTGGGGGGATGGGTTAGCCAGTGATGGGTATTAAAGAGAGCACGTACTGAATGGAGCACTGGGTGTTATACGCAAACAATGAATCATGGAACACTACATCGAAAACTAATGATGTAATGTATGGTGATTAACATAACACAATAAAAAAATTATTAAAAAAAAAATCATGGTAAGAAGTACCCTAAAGTATCCAAAATATCTTATTCAGTCTTAAATCAAGGAGTTGTCTACAACTATCCTCATCTAAATCAATTGGAATTGGCAAAAAATTTTAAGCAGTAATCTGACAACTCTAAAATAATATAAAGATGATTTAGTGTATATAAAGGGGTTCTTTTAACTGAAGGAAAAGCATGTTCCGAGCTTGAGTTATACATTATTAATAAATACATGCTTAAATGAAAATGGTGATGAATTGGAATAAAAAGTGCCCATGCCAGAAAAAGAAAAAAAAAAAAGCAAATAATGACAACAAAAAATAAAAATTCATTTAACAATGACAAGCTTTTAGAAGATGAGGATTAAGTCATTTTATATGTTTGCTAAATATAATTAATAAACAGAAATTAGTAATATTAGTAATGAATATAAACTACACCTTTAAAAAATTCTTGAATTGCAACTCAAACTGGAATTCTAAAATGTAGATGTATTTTATAAAACACATATAGAATAGTCAAGTAACAATGATTAATGACAATAACTTTTAATTTAGAGTTTCAAGATTTGTTACAGAACATATGTAATATTAGGTCTTGAGCTTACAGCTCACATATACATGATTACTTGGGCCTATCTTGCCGGTTCCTGATTGAAAACCAACCACACAAAAACAAGAACAAAAAGGCACCTCCTAACTTTATCAGAGTTGGCTGCTGCCCCAAGAACTATAAAGATATCCCCTGATACATGAAAAAAATATTTAATAAGAAGTTCTGAGTATTGACCTTGATATCTTCCACTAACTTCTGTATAAAAACTAAGATGAGAGGTACACAGATCTGTAAATACAGAAAATAATTTTATTCATTCTGTACTTAAGGAATCTAATGCAGGATCTGGCACATAGCTGGTGCTCAATTAATGCTGGCTGGATGGAAATGGGGGAGGATGAATGGGGATCTTCACAACTGAAGGAATGTACAAGCCATTGGGTAAAAAGTACCCCATGCAGTCAGTAACAGGAAAACCAAGAGTAGCTATACATTTTTGGCAAGAGATAATGTAAGCTATCCAGAAAGAAGGGTCCCAATAAACTAATCATTAACTAATAAATGACTTTTCAGATAGCAGAAATGACTGATCCTGTTTTTTTCTGATTAAAGAAACAGATGTACAGTATAAAGAAAGCAGTTTCTATGACATATCCAAGAGCTCAATGTGCTGTTAAGTAAACTCTTGGCCGAGGATGGAGCGGGATACAAACATTAAAAATGGAGGCCCAATATCCTCAGGAAACAATACTTGATGGAAGAAAATTGTAGTCGAGTTCTTTGAAAAATATACTGGGGAGAATGCTATACTATGCTATATAAACCAATGCTAAAGTTGAACTTTATAATTTTCCTGTTACTTGAATAATTAAAATTTCCATATAACAAGGGATATCTAACCAAAAATCATAGCATTAAGAATTACAAAATAAAGGGAAGCTTTTTTTTTTAAAGCTGGGATTCACTGGTCTATGAACTGCATGCTTTTCATTCCAAACACTTAAAACCTTAAAACGCTGATCTATCTCTATCCTGCTTAAATTAGTAAAAGGATATCATGAAAGAAAAACATTTAAGTTTTTTACACTACCTTTTTCTGTGCTCCCATTTATTTTAGGTAAGAAGTCATCAACTTGTATCCCTAGGATTAAGACAGTGTATCATTGCCTGATCAAAGAAAGTGTTACTTTAAAACTGGTCTCAAGTGTAACCATGGCATTTTGTATTCCTACTTACCATTAAGACAGTATAGCACACTTTAAATTTGTTTTTAAAAGAAGGGTTCAACAGGACATTTTCTATCCACTCAGAGAAAAAGCTACAACTGCCTTCCAACAAACCTCAAAAGAAAAGGATCCTGCTGTGCATGTATTTTTCTTATTTAAGTATCTCTAAGTAGAGCATCTCAGATGCAGAAATTTCATTTGTCTCAAGGACTAAACAATGGTGCCCACTGGTGGCAATCAAGCATATTTTTAAAGGAAATTTTCTGAAAGACTGTAGATACTTTATACCTAAAACATAAAATATCCCTCTTAAAATAAGTACCCCAGGAGAGAGTAAACATCAAAAGTCCAATGATAAAATTCAGGTTTAAATAAGAAACTGGGTAACACACCTACCTAAACTGCTGCATTCTTTAAGAGTTTTCTCCTGAAGATGTTCTAACCGTACTGTAAATAAAAGTCCAAGAAAAAGATATTTCACAGATAAAAGAAAAAAAAAAATCAAATCAAATCAACTTCTGGATTAGCAACTTACCTTGTAAAGCTGTTAGCCTTTCATTGGTGAAGTCATTATCAGCTTGCAAAGCTTCTATTTTTGCCTGGAGCTCCTGTTCTTTTTCTTCCATTTCATCTATTTTATGTTGTAATTCTTTTTTCTCAGCTTGTCCCTTCTGTTGGATTTCTTCTTGTTTTCCCTCTGCTACCTGTTCAGAAAGAAAAAAAATTTCAGTTATTTCATAAAGTCTGAACTTGCTTTCAGAGGCCTAAAGCAGGAATGCTTTTATTCACCATAAACTTCTAAGGAGAATATTCAATATTATAGAACATATTTGTAAATGTCAAAATAATGTCAAAAGTGGTCTGCATTGAAGTCATGCTTCCCTATCACCTAGGAAAAAAAAACTTGCAGCAGGCAAATAGGCCTAATACATACAGATAAGGGGGTCAAAATGAAAAACTCCACAGTTTTCAAGAGGGAAATATATAAGGTTTTCCCTGAAATTACTATTGTTTAGATTAGTTTGTTAAGTTCTAAAATGTAACTTACTCTAATATTTTAAACAAAACTGTGTTTAGTTGAAGGAATGATGATAATAAGTACTTTTCAAAATGACCTCCTTTTAATAAGACCAACCTTTAAAACTATTACAGGTTCACCAACCACACAGAGGGAGGTATGCCCTGGTCTTCTCTAACAAATATGTATCTTCTAGCCACTCATTCCATGGTTTGAATTATTTAAAGATGGGTCTTCACAAACTCAGTTATAACATTTAAAGGACCAACTTGACATTACGTATGGCCTCACCTGTCTTACCCTAAATGCCCTCTAGCTAGAGGGAGCTGCAGCTGAAGCCGTTAATAGCATCCCTGGAGGCTATGAGGGTCCATACAGATCACTCCAAGGTTACTTCTGGGCTTGTTCCAGCACTAACATAGTTGGGCTCTGACTGTGGGCCTGCCCAAGGTTAAGCAGATTCAAGTTTTTAAAAAGTCTAAATATCTTGGGGTTTGCTGATTTATTTTATTTTATTTTTTTAAGTTTTATTTATCTGACAGAGAGACACAGTGAGAGAGGGAACACAAGCGGGAGGAGTGGGAGAGAGAGAAACACACTTCCTTCAGAGCAGGGAGCCCGATGCGGGGCTCGATCCCAGGACCCTGGGATCATGACCTGAGCCGAAGGCAGACGCTTAACAACTCAGCCACCCAGGCGCCCTGGTTTGCTGATTTACATCTACTTCCTGTTATAAAAGATGCCTGTTGTGAAGTACTATTTATTTCCATCCAGAGAAAATATGTCAGCTTTTACAGACTTTCAATTATCTGTGGCAATGGGGTTTGGGCTAAATGGCACCTTATTTTTACTACAAATTTCAACTACTACCAAATTTTACATCAACAACTATTCAGCAATACCTAACCTCTTAATCTATCCAGTGTGTTAGGGACTATTAACACACTTTCAGGTTGAGTAAATACATACCTTTAATTTATCAGATAAATCTTTAATCTCATTAACTGCTCCATTATATTTATTGGCTAATTCTCTCAATTCTTCCTGAGTCCGTTCATTCATTTCTTTAAGATGGGTACATTCATCTTCAGTATTACTCAGACTTCGCTGTAATTCAAGTTTACAGATAATTGATTTAGAATAAATGCACATTCTAAATTCAATTTATAAAAAGTGTTAATTCTATGGGCTGTTCAAAATTAACATCTGCCCTGGCCTTTATATAAGAGTTAAACAACATAAGAATTTTAATTTACTTTAGGTACATGCTAAAACAGAAAATACAACAAAAAATTTGAAAAACAAAACAACAGAAAGGGAGCAGGGGAGGAAAGGATGTCACTTACATAACTACTCTTTTAAAAGGCCACTGGGTATGACTTTTAGACTTGAAAATATTTTAAGCTTATCAATTCTTGAAAGCAAGTTAATAATAGGCACAATCAACTTAATAAGAAAATTAGAAGACAGCTAACAATTTTCTTTCCTTGCATGTCAAATTAATGACACAACACTGAATTAGTTACTATGGGATGAGGCTATTATAGAAACCATTACTATACCATATTCTAGAGTATATACTATATACTATATATAGTATTTTTACTATTGTTTACAATGGGCATTTTAACTAAATCATTAACAATTAACTTCTGTGGTAATTTAGCAGTGGTTCAACGAATGACCTACATTATTAATGAGGTTGTTTTTAAAGCAATGAGAATCACATTTTGATTGTTCCTAAAAGACCAAGAAAGGACCTCAGAGATATTTTCCCTTTGACCTCCAAAGTTAGACACAGTTTTCTTCTCTAGAGGATGGGTAAATAATAGTGGTAAGTTTCTCCACCTTCCACCAACTATCCTCAATTGGAAGAAAAGCAAAAACTAGGTGACAGGAGATGAATTCCCTGGCACATATCACAGTCCACTGTGTGAGAGGCCAAATCCTAAGCAGAATGCACATGGTTAAGACTCCCTCTGATTAGGCTTTTATTTGCTCAGTCACTGAGTAGAAACAACAAGCACCAGACTCACATGATTACAATGAAAATTCCTAACAATGAAAACAGCCTACTATCCCTTCCCATTTGATAGACAGGAAATATTTCCTAACTATATAATACTCAAGTTTAAAATGTCCTAAAATATTAGCAATTTTAGGCTATAAAATTTTAAATCATACTACATTTTATATTTGTTAAAATGAAATACCTCAACTTCTGAAAGTTTTCTAACCACTTCAATTTTCTCCTGAAGAACCCGCCTCAGGGACTCTTTGGCTGTCGTCTCGTAGTTGTGTTTATCCTCCTGTAATGCTATAAGTTCCTTCCGTAAACTATCTTCTGTTTGATTCTAGGATTAGAAGATATTTATAATTATAGCCAAGTAATTTTTTTAAGTATTTACCATTTGAAAAAATAACACATTATGATGCTCTTTGAATTCTACATTAAGGTACCTCCAAATACAAATGATGTATTTAAAAGTTGCACTGTAAATTATACCTTCACAAATATATTAATCCACACTTCTGATAGAAAAAAAATGTCAAAGGAAATTGAGAATTTCTTTCAAATGTACAAAATGAATTAAGTCTCCTATCTGTCATATTCTCTGTAAGCCACAATATTTACATTTGTCGGTAGAGCTAGAAGAATGTGTAAATAACAATCCAGATTTAGGGAAATTATAGAGGACAAATGACCCAGTTTCTCCAGCAAATATCAACTGTGATAGAAAAAAAAGAAAGAGTTGTATATGGGTATTCAATATAAAGTTCTTTCTCCTTAATGTATGTTTGAAATTTCCTCTAATGACTAATGACTATACATAATCTAATGTATAGATTAAGGAATCTAACAAAAGATTTAAAAGAATGGTGAAAACATATAAATGTTTTAGCATGTACTCAAAACGACAGTCAAAGAAATGAAGCTACATAAACAACTATGCATTTTCATGCATAGTTAATGCATTTTTCTTTATGGATCTTTACTTGAGATTAATACTTACTTTGGAGCATGCCTGTAACTGGTTTCCCATAACTTCTAACCGTGATAAGAGTCTATCTTCATCTATTAAAGCCTGTTGAAGAAAAATTAAATATAAATAAAATCCCAGGGTAATTAAAAAATTACACATATCAAAAAGGTTGCTACTGCCAGAAAAAGATATGAAATCATAAAACTGACCAACATCCACTGTAAAATGCTAAATTTTCAATATTTGGTCATTAAGAAGTAAGTTTGCCTTTGCCTGCTAAAAAATTTCACTTTTAATCAACATCTAAAGGATATTAAACTATACTTAAATGCTTCTTGTATATAAAGGCAACTTGAATACCTGCCAACTGGTATCTGAAGCCTCTTGGGTGATGGCTAGTAGCCGCTGAAGTGTGGCTAACTTCTGTTCCAACATCTGTTCCCGATGTAAGGCCTCCTAATAGTATAAATCACAAAAGAGATTCTAATAAACTCAGCATGATCTTTGAAGAGAAATCAAAGTACATTCTGAAAATATTCTCATCTTACATCCCACTCTGTATCTTACTTTCAAACCTGATAAATCTACCTTGTAAAATATATATAAGCCATATCATTTTAGTCTCATTTCCTGGACTGTTAGGGGTACTGAGTTGCACCTTCCCCTATTAACAGAAAACAAGTACCCTGTTTTTGTTTTCCTTTTAGTCATAATTCACAAGAGTTTTAAAAAAAAAAGGAAACCCAGAAGAATCCAACAAACGTTTAATGCTACATTTTATATATCTATATAAAACCCTCCATTTCCAATTATATATATATGTATATATGTAAATTTTTAAAAATACATACATATTTTTCAGAACAAACTCATTTCAAACTAAGACAAACAATCTGGTCAGTAGCAAAGATACTTCTCAATGGCTTAGCTGCATGAGTATGACATCTAAAATAGAAATGTCTTTTAATTTTTCCTTTTAAGAATGTTACATATATATAAATATATATAAGGAGAAAGACTGTTTCACAATCTCTTGCATTTTCAGGTGTTCTGATTCTTTGTGACTGTATACCACTTAGCAGCAATCAAATATGCCAAAAATAAGTAAGAGTCCACCAGTGTAATAAGGGGTCAAGGAGTTCTATAACCATTTGGCAGCTCCAAAGGGATATTTTTTACAGAGAAGGACATTAGCAAGCAAACCCTTAGCTCTAGGTCACTTGTTAACACTTGATAGCTGTTAAGAGGGTCTCCTTCACTAGAAGTCAAGGTGAAAATGCTCACACAGCATTCAGTTGTGGTTATGGCACATCTTCAAATTTCACTTTCTTCTATTCCTGTCATTAGCCAAAGAAGAACACTTACTACCCTAATACCCCTGGAGCCACCTCAAAAAAGAAGGATACACTTCAAAGACAATATTTGAGGTTTAAAGTATGCATTTATTTTTCTCCACATCCTCGGTAAATAATGATTAAAGAAAATCTGATCTAATTAGAATTACAGGTACCATTTTTTTTAAAGATTTTATTTATTTATTTGAGAGAGAGAATGAGAGAGCGAGAGAGAGCATGAGAGGGGATAAGGTCAGAGGGAGAAGCAGACTCCCCGCTGAGCAGGGAGCCCGATGCGGGACTCGATCCTGGGACTCCAGGATCATGACCTGAGCTGAAGGCAGTCGCTTAACCAACTGAGCCACCCAGGCGCCCTACAGGTACCATTTTTTAAAATTAACTCTTGGGGCGCCTGGGTGGCTCAGTTGGTTAAGCGTCTGTCTTCTGCTCAGGTCATGATCCCAGGGTCCTGGGATTGAGCCCCACATCAGGCTCCCTGCTCAGTGGGAAGCCTGCTTCTCCCTCTCCCACTCCCCCTGCTTGTGTTCCCTCTCTTGCTGTCTCTTTCTGTCAAATAAATAAATAAAATCCTTAAAATAAATAAATAAACAAATTAAAAGTATAGATTAAGGAATGTAACAAAAGCCATAAAATACAGCTTACACTTACAAGAGACTGGTTGCCAAGTTTATTTTAAGCTCTTAAGACACTACTAATATCCAGGAAATTAACATTAAATGCTGCAAAAACTTTTACTTAAAAACAAAACCACCAAACAATCACTACTTCCACTAGATGGTGTAATTTCACCTTTTTAAACTCAATTCCATTTAGAGTTTCATAATTCCATGAACCACATCCTAACAGAAATCTAATACTTCCAGGAATAACTTTTAGTTCTAAGACATGAAACGTATCTATTCAGTTTTTACTCAAAATATTTACATTACAACTTTAGCAATTCAAAAAGATGTATACAGAAAAGATAGCACAGTATAATCTTCTCTCAAAAACCAGACAAGAACAGTGAAAGATGATGCCCACTATGAATATTCAAAGAACTGACAAAATTGGAAAAAGTACTGGAGTGAGTCAGGGCATTAGACCCACAGTCCATGATGACTGGTAACTGTATAGTGTATAGACTCAGGAAATCATTTTACCTATAATGAGCCTCATACTTCTCATAGAAAAATGGAGGTTAGACAAGATTAATCTCAAAGTTTTCTTCTACCTCTAAAAATAAGAGATCTAGGTCAACCAGCATGCCTTTCTACTGAGTGGTAAACAACTGCTGACATGTATGGCATACATTGTATGTGACACACTTTTCTAAGTGCTTTACATATACTGAGTCACAATTCTGTGAGGTACATGCTATTATACCCACATCATAGATGAAGAAAATGAGGCTCTGAAGTTAAAGGTCTGAAAAGGTCTGACGTTAAAGCCACAGACCAAGTCCAGGGAATTCTGGCTAGAGTCTATGCTTTTAGACATTCTACTAAACTGCAAATGTGTAAAACGGCTTTTCTATGCACCATTACATAATGACCAGTGGAAGGCAGGATCTGATTAATACTCTGACAATTTTCAGACTTGTACATTCTTAACTGAGGGAGAACTGCTCTTAGTGATGATTCCTATAAAAGAATGTAGGAATCAGGATCATTGGTTTGGTCCTATCATTTTTATAAAGCAACTGAAGACCTACATATGTAAAATGATTTACCCAAAGTTACAGAACTCAGTAGCAGAGCCAAGATACAAAGTTTAATCTCTAAATTCCTGATCTAGGGTTTTTCTTCACCATGCTCCCTCACCAGAATAATAACCATAATCCAGCCCAAATCTCCCAAAATCAAGAGAAAAAAAAAGCCACTTATTTCCTTTTTGGAGATTTCTATGGCTCTTTAAATACAGTATTAACTTCTTTAGGAGCCCATTTCATCAGATCCAGTAGCACAGCATAGTGGTTAAGGGCAGAGACTCTGAGGTCTGACTGGGTTCAAATCCCATCTCTACCACAGAGTAGGTGTGTAATACTATGTAAATTATTTAACCTTCCAGGCTCTCAGTTACTCCCTCTATAAAAATGGAAATAAAATATGTACCTTATGGGATTGTTCTGAAGATTAAATGAATAGAGGTAAAGTGCTAGAGTCTGGCATATAGTAAATGCTATATAACCATTTGCTATTAATATTATACTAAGCACCCAAGATCTCTCCAGGCTTAATTTTATTTAAAAGTCATCTATGAATAAAGAACTATTTTGAAACTTCCTCATACTTGAATAAAAAAAAAAACTTCTCTTGTACAGACCCCTATCTTTTCTAGACTTAATAATCCTGATTCTTTTTTTTAAAAAAAATATTTTATTTATTTATATACCAGAGAGAGAGAGAGAGTGAGTGCACAAGCAGGGGGAGCGGCAGGCAGAGGGAGAAGCAGGCTCCCTGCTGAGCAGGGAGCCCAATGTGGGACTCGATCCCAAGACTGACTCTGGGATCATGACCTGAGCCAAAAGCAGATGCTTAATATTCTGGAACCCCAGCGTCCCAATAATCCTGATTCTTTTTATCCTTTCTTCACAAGACCTAGTTTGGGCGCCTGGGTGGCTCAGATGGTTGAGCGTCTGCCTTCGGCTCAGGTCATGATCCCAGGGTCCTGGGATCGAGTCCCACATCAGGCTCCCTGCTCAGTGGGAAGCCTGCTTCTCCCTCTGCCTCTCTCTCTCTCTCTCTCTCTGACTCTCATGAATAAATAAATAAAACATTAAAAAAAAACCCAAAAAAAACCAAGACATAGTTTTATTTATTTATTTAAAGATTTTATTTATTTATCTTACAGAGAGAGTGAGAGACAGAGCAGGGAGCAGGAGGAAGAGGGAGAGAGAGAAGCAGACTCCCTGCTGAGCAGGGAGCCCAACATGGGACTCGATCCCAGGACCCTGGGATCATGACCTGAGCTGAAGGCAGACGCCTAACCGACTGAGCCACGCAGGCGCCCCAAGACCTAGTTTAAATCCTTTTTTTAACTTTGAGAGATACTTCTTTTGTATTTGTATCCAGTCAATATTTCTTTAGCCTATATTTGTGAACTAGCAAATTCAAATCTAAGTTGTTTAATTCTACTTTTAAAAACTAAGAATTTTTAAGATTTACCTGTAGATACTGAGAAAGCTGGAATAGTTCCTGAGAGTACATACTTGGAGTGTTAGCAGCAACCTAGAAACAAATGACACAAGTACCAACAGTCACACAAACGTTTATAAAAGACATTAAAGCCAAACCAAGTCCTTGAAATGTCTATTTACTGAAATATGCAAAATAAAAATTATTTTTCAGCTTAATGAATTCTTTCCGTTTTCAAAATATTTCTGTCTCATGTCTAGAATTTGTAAATGGTATTATTTTTTGCTGACCAGTCTGAGATTTATAAGCAGGGTGGTGGAACGAGTACCACTCATGCAAACATTCCTTGATAAACCAAATCACAAACACAGCACAATAGCAATACAGCCCTTTCTTAATTCAGAAATAATACGTCCTAAATCAATGAGTATATATTTATCCCCTTTAAAATTCATTGTTAAATAATTCTCAATACTCCAATAAGTCACAATTCTTTTAGAAGTAGCCATCCTCAAAATGGGAGTTGTATGTGGGGGTGCAGGGAGAGACAGGACATGAAATATAACACTTTGTCCAATGGCCAGAGGCAATGAAAATAGATTTGTCTTAAAAAAAGGAAGGAAGGAAAGAAGGAAGGTAGAAACAAAGAAAGAGAAAGCAAGCAAGCAAATAGCTTTGTCTTTTTTTTTCTTCTTTAAACTACAGGTAGGTTTAAGAAGAAAAAGATGGGAAATAATGGTGTTTAAATTACAAATCACAGAAAAAATACTTAGAACTCAAGAGTATTAGAAGAAATACTTTCAATAAGGGGTTCTTCCCAAGTGTGGAACATAGAACCATGGCATTATTCACCCTCCCCAAAAAAGAAGAAATTATTAGGTTGCTGTAACATTTACCCATATCCTCAATACTACCAAGCCTTATGTATTAACATTAATGAGGTTAATAGCATCATTCCTGATTAAGTTCAGAAAGTATATTTTTATTAATATGCTAACTAGAATTCAGAGAAGTGACATTATTTTCAAAAGTTAGTCCTAAATTGGCAAGGCCTTTATTTACTTCTGAAATAATTCTTGGTATTACTGAGGTTGATGATCAACCACTTTCACTTCTAAAAAAGGAATCTAACAGAACTTCAGTTTCAGGCAGGCTTTCAGTCTTTATCCAAATGGAAGAAAAAAATGTAAAATATTTTTCCAATAGTTTAGTTAGTACACTAAGAAAAACCATTCACATTAATGTCAAAAGATATAGATATATTTTTTGCTATTTAGCAATGATATCTAGTTTATTACACCATTATTTCTGAACAAAGGGAAAAATACTAACAAGTAATTATTGCAGATTTTCTGACCAAATCAGGTTGAAACTAATTTTCAAGGACAATAAAAGAGCAATTTCTGTAAACCCGTATTTCTGTTATTTCTATGTGTAGGTATATGCTGGGTGAACTATTTGGGCAGAAAACTTCAACAGAAATTTCTAAACAGAATTGTATTCCAGAATAAAAAGTAGTAACTAACACTTCATTCTCTGGCTAGGCACAAAGCAAGTGCTCCTAGTCTATACAATTGGCCATTTACTTGAGATAATAAAGGTTTCTTCCTCAGAAATATCCATCCTAAATTCTCCACAAGACTGCAATAACCAAATACCTACATACACTGTATATAATTTGTTACAGAAGAAAAGTAAGTTTCTAGGTAAAGCGTATTAAAAACAAAAACATTTTCCAAAGCAATATAACCGAGTTAGTTTAGAAAAAATAATCATTAGTAACTTACTTTGTCAACAGGACTTGGTAATGGAGCATGGATGACACTGAAAAGTAAAATTTAGAATTTTTTATCTAACTTCCTGACAATAGAGGAAACAGTATAACAGTACCAGAATATCTAAACCCCAAAGTTGATACACTTGCTGTCATATAATTAAAAGACCGTGAATTACCTTTTAATTCTTCATAAATACATAGAATTCTTAGAAAACAAGGTAATAAATGTACAAATCTACCTTTTACACATAATATATTTCTAAACACAAATTCAAAACTCAAAATGTATTAAATGCCCTTTGAAGATCCACTATTTAATGAGGGCTCTGGTGAATTCCATGGCTGTAAATTTCTATATAGAAAAGAAGCTCTCTTTAAATTATCCATTTTTAATTTTGGAATGTGCAAATTACGTCTTTTTTTAAAATTAAATATTCCTATACACAAAGTCTTAAAAACCAAAGTTCTACTAGAAAGAAAGCTATAATTTGGAAACTTGTTCTAGTGGAGAACAACTTTAGCTAACCAAACAGTATTACTATTCTCTACTCAGCCACCTCACACACCAACAACTGAAAGCTTAGATGTAGGTATGAAACTAAACTTGGTATATCTCTTTAAAACTAAGCAGTAAACAGTATAATTGGTACTAATTGCTTTTTGGGCCTTATAAAGTACTAATGACAGACAGGCAGTGTAGTATAACAGTTAAGCATGCAGGCTCAGATGCCATACTGACTGGCCCCAAATTCTGGCTCTACTTACCAGCTGTGTAATCTTGGGCAAGTTTACCTAAGCACTATAGGTCTTCAGCTTCCTCATCCATAAAATGAGGGTAATCACAAAAACAACCCCATAGAGTAACTGTGAGCATTATATGTGTTAATAGAAATAGCTTTCAACAGTACCTAGGACATAGTAGCACTTGATCCTACTCCCACTCCCATGAGAACAGAGCAGCTAAGGAAGCCAGGCACTGTGACCAATTTACCTCTGGATCCCCAGACCCTATCACAAGGCCCTAGCAAAGCTGACACCTAATGAAGGTTTTTTTTGTTTGGTTTTTTTTTAAGATTTTATTTATTTATTTATGAGAGACAGAGAGAGGGAGAGAGAGAGAGAGAGGCAGAGGGAGGCTCCCAAGGAGAGGGAGCCCGATGCGGGACTCAATCCCAGGACTCCGGGATCATGACCTGAGCCGAAGGCAGACGCTTAACCATCTGAGCCACCCAGGCACCCACGCCTAATGAAGGTTTAAAAACTTACACCAACTTTAGTTTTTCTCTCTACCCTATAAATATGGAATAGACAGTTTGAACACAACCTTCTTTTTCTTGACTATACAAGCAATACATATTGATTATAGAAAATGTGCGATGTAAAGCATGAGGAAATAAAAATTACCTAATGCCAGCACCTAGAGATAACCACTTGAGATATATTTATTTTTCTCTGTAGATATGCACATATAGGCAAATGAATTTAAAATCTAAATAGAAGCAAACAGTATTCATGTTTTTTTTAAATCCAGTTTTCTTAGTGACCCAAGTACAAAATTTTCTGTTCTTATGAAAATTTGGTTAACAAAAGGCTAAAAATCTAGCTAAACATTCCATAAGGAATATATATAAATGTATTTTACAGAAACTAGCCTGGATACGGGTGTATTTTGTTTGAATTATAGAAAAAGTTCATATGCAACAAGGGAATACAGAAAAGGAAAACCATTATTTAGTGTTAGGATGGTGGGATTATAGGCAATTTTTCTCTGTTATCATTTAAAAATTATTTGTGCAGGGGTGCCTGGCCACCTCAGCCAGTAGAGCATGTGACTCTTGATCTCAGAGTCGTGAGTTTGAGCCCCATGTTGGGTAGAGAGGTAAGTTAAAAAAAATTATTTGTGCAATATAATAAAATCAAGGAAGAAAAAAGAACTAGCTTTTTGAATTAGCTAGTGAGGATCTTAAAAGCATTAAATGCTATGTATATAATATACCTGAAATTCTAAGCATTCTGGCATACCCAAATGTATCTTGATTGCTAAAAAAGATTACAGGAACAGAAACAGCCAATGATCATTGTGTGCTTAATATATGCCAGGTACCACACAAAACTCTTTAAGTGAATAACCTTGCTTAAACCTCCTCATAAAATTCCTGCTTAGTAGGTACTATTGTTATCTTCATTTTTCAAATGAGAAAAGGGAGGCCTAATCAAGACAGAATAGGTGGAGTTGGGCTTTGAATTAGACTATCCACCTCTACAGACCATTCTGATCTTCTACCAGCTCTAGAGAACTGTCTGTCCAAAATTCATCTTCTCCAGAAAGTCAGCCAGACTGTGTACAATGAAATTGGCAGCAAAATTTTAAATAATACTAATATTTAACCACATGAGAAAAAACAATGAGAAGGAAACAGGGGGCAAAGATGAAAAGCATTGGGGAAACAAGAAGGATAAGGACACAATTCACTAAAACAGACTTTGAAAAATTTACATGTCCTCCTAGATGGAACCTGAGATCACAGATAACCCTTTATATAACTGCTCAAAGCTTTTAACTCCATGGGAGAAAAATCTCATTATCACACACAAACATCAAGGTCTTTAAGAAGCCACACATCATTAGTTGATTAATAGTTACTCTTATTTTTAAAAACTTAACTCTTGACTCCTGAGTCACATTAAAGTTCCCAAAGTTAACTGTATTTTTAATATTTAAACTATGAAAAAAATAATTAAACTATGATATAGAATAGGAAACACTGTTTTACCTTTAAATGTTTAAAAATTTTTGCTTTGCTTCAGATACACTTAAAGCCAAAAAAAAAAAAATTGGTAGCATCTAACTGAAGCAAAATATATAGTAAGCCTAATGAAAGCACAGACTATCATAGTAATAGGAGGGCCTCTCTCTGCTTTCTTTTTCATTCTCTCTTTTCTACTCACGTTCTACTTTGCCCTAAACTTACTGCTTATCTTAACCTCCCACCCTCAGATCTTTGTCTTTACTTTTGAAGGATAAAAAATATTATGTTGGGTATAGAAAGAAGCTTCTTGCCCCACAAATAAAAAATGCTTAGGTTTAATTAGTAATTACTACATAATGATAATCTGTGAAAAGCACAAGATTAAAATGTACTTATATTTAGATTTTAACATTTACATTTTATGAGTAATTCTTCCTTTTCAAGTTTGTCCTCCTCTAAGTGATCTTTCCACTACTTCAGGGGGAAAAAAAACACAGCCTTGGAAAATCCCTCCAAAACTCCCACCAAAATAGGCTACTAACTGTATCAACATCCTCAAGGTCCTAAAAGATCATGACACCGGCATTAACTTCACAGGGAATCACAGTTTAAGAAGTCCTACATTAAATGCAGGTCAAAATACAGTTATCACTCACCAGTAACTTACATACCCTAAATATTTTGAAAAACAACTAATTATCCATCAAAATATAAATTGTAAAGTTAATTTGGAAACAAAATAATCTGTGCCTCATTATACATTATTATTTACTAGAATTGTAGCTAATGTGAAAAAGAATTAAAATGAAGTATATTATATTCTAAAAGTACTGCATTAATTTTCTACCATTATTAGAATAATCCTGAAGTGTAACTGTATACCATCACCTAGAATATTATTAACCAAGGTAATTAATACAAAAAGTTCATAGCACTAAATTATACTCACTCTGAGCGGAGTCGGGCTTCCATACCATCTGGTAGAAAAAGTTTTATTGTGGAAACAATACACCCATGGGTAACTGGTTAAAACAAACAAATAAGATGGATTAAATAATTGTTTAAAATTACAAACCTTCATATCTCTCATATCCAAACATATATTTTATTCCTAAATGCAGTAACTTCCAGGAAAGAAATCTTGGTGGTTTAATGACAATATTCACTCCCCTGGAGAAAGTCATCCCTCTTCATACTGAATCACAGTTGCAAGGCAAAATTACAGAATGGTTTTTCAAAAGTGTCCTAACCTTCAATGCAATCAGTCAATAAAAGGTCAGTTGAATATATGGAAATACAATTGAGGAGAGGAAATGCACTTTCTCCCCTATCTGCTGGCATCAAAACCTAACCCCAACTATTCCCCCAATTTAATATTTAGCCCTAATTCCTAATTCTCCTGTCCTCAAACTATAACTCCTGTCCACGCCTCGCAAAACTCTAGTTCTGCATAATACAGCTTGGAATATGCTGTTCAAGTCCCCCATTTGATGAGTGAGAAAACCAAGACCTCAGAAAAGTGAAACTGCTTCTAGAACTCTGTTAAGTGTCAGAGCTGTTTGCTAGAACTCAAGTCTGAGATTTCCAGTTCAGTATTTAAAATTGTGGTTTTGTGTTCTTGGTGCTTTTTCTTCCTCCACCCTCAAACATTTTTATATAACATTACACCAGTCACTTTGTAGACAACTTCTTACTATTGCTTCTTACTTCCTCCTTTTCCTTCTGATGATTTCAAGAGACAAAACCCCCCAAAAGGAGCGTTTATACAGAGCTTCTCTTTGTGATTGTGTTTTATGGGTTGATGGCTTTTTATTTCTCTGTTCTTCCAAGACTACATCTTCCAGGGTTAGGGTTCAAAGAGTTAATTTATTTAGTTTATCAAAATCTAATTAAAAGCTAATGCAGGGTGATGAAAATATACTATCTCATGATTAGAAGAGTGGTAGTTATATGACTATACATTTGTCAAAACTCAGTGAGTTCTACATATAAAACTGGTGTTGCAAGTAAATTATATCTCAATAAAACTGATTAAGAATAAGCTAATGCTGGGGCAGTGCCTGGGTGGTTCAGTTGGTTAAGCGTCTGACTTTGGCTCAGGTCATGATCTCAGGGTCCTGGGATCGAGCCCCATGTTGGGATCCATGCTCAGCGAGGAATCTGCTTCTTCCTCTCCCTCTGCCCCTCCCCGCCTCCCGCTTGTGCGCGCGCGCGCTCTCTCTCAAATTAAATAAAAACTTTAAAAAAAAGGAATAGAGCTAAATGCGTTTATATAAGAGTAACTTATTAAGTGATCAGGCCCATGAATCATCAAAATGAGATTATAAACATGAAGTAATATGATTATTCTGTCATCTGGAAATACACAGTAAACTTAAGGAATTTAGTAAAGTTTACTCAATTTTCATTAACTTATTATTTGAAAAGTGTTAACACAGATCAAGAACCATCTCTGGGACAGTCTTCTAAACTCTGCCTAACACTGCAATTACAGCCATGAACCACTGGGCTCCTTCCTTCCATTCAGGCCTCATCCTCTATCCTGTTACCATAAATACCCTATGCAAGACCAAGCTACCTGCACTTCCAAATTCTTTACTTTTCACAACTCCATGCATTGTACAAGCTGTTATGTCAGTGATGTCCTTTATCCTCTCGCCTCCATAACCAAATGCTATTTACCCTCTAGGCTCAGACTTTCTACTTACTTCACCAAACTCATCTGAGTTATGGGTCTCCAGAGCCTCCTATATCTACTTCTTATAATAGTAAGCACATTGTGGGCAACCCTGTTGGGACCCCTCTCACTCTTGAGAGCTTTTTCTGTATCTTCACTTAATAAACTTCTATCGCTTTACTCACTAAAAAAAAAAAAAAAATAGTAAGCACACTGCATTGTGAATACTTATCATTTATACAACCGTGTCTCACCAGTTAGAGTCAACTCTGTGAGAGGGGAAAGGATTGGTTGCTTTTCACTTTTTAAATCCCACACTTGGCAGAGTTACCTAGTACAAACTAGGCATTTAATAAATGATTACTGAATGTGAGAAAAAACATGTCTGGTTAATATTTTACAGCTTCCGTTACCCAAGGTGAAGATGTCTTTTACTTTGAGGACAGTAGGGTTCACCTACACTTGTAAGAACTACCTAACTCCCTCCTTTCTCCAGTAGAACATAGGGAAGGGGCAGATTTATCCCAGCTCTATGACTCCCCCAGAGATTTACTATAAATAGGCTATAATAAATACAGGAGAACAGTACAAGAAGATCCAGCAGTTCTGACACTTGACCAATGTATTTAAACTGATAATAAAGTCTAAAAAAGTAGGTGCAGCGAGTTACAGAATAAAACTGCAGTGCCAGAACGGACAAGCTGTGATATATTACATCAGAATTTCCATTGCTCAGATATATGACTCCAAAGTCCAGCAACTGGACTGATGTACAAATCTGTGAAATGAATCAAGGGCTAATACTGACTGGGCAGCACATGGCTACTGTACTACTGAAGGCAGTTAAAGACCACGTCTGACTAAGCTGACAATCTAGTCTAGCCAGCTCTGCCTTTGAAAAGGTTCTTGTGACAACTAGATACACAGATCATAGAATTATTAGTTGTCTTTCTAATTTGCAATGGGCAAGTATTTAAAATGACCTGATAAAAATGTTTTGTTCTAATATTTACATTAATCAACTTTACACAGCAGTATTCTCCAAAATGGAGTGCTAGCAGGTGTTAACAAAAAAAGGATTTGGGGGTCAGAAAAGTTTGGAAAATACTTGGTTAAAACAGATTTTTGGAAGAGTTTTGATTTTTTAAACCAGTCTTTCTCAGAGCCTAATGGGCTTGTTTATCCATCATGAGGCTCTAAAAGTAAGATGCATTTTCCAAACTTACTGAACCATTGAGCATCTCTGTCCCGTTTTCAGAACACTAACACAGGAACTGATAGTACCATATTATATACATGATATATATGGTATTACGAAAAAAATGCTTAGGGAAATATTGCTCTCAAGTATTCTATGAGTCACTTTGTAAACAAATTTTGCTCTCAAAATTTACCCAGAAACATTATTTACCATATTTCCAAGACTCAAAGACAAAATTGATAATAAAACACACAATTTAAAAGTTTCTTGGGCAGAGTAAGAAGGCTGCAGGATCACTGCCAATTTAAATATAGGTACCCTTCGCTTTTTTTTTTTTAAGAGAGACAGCATGAGAGGGGGAGGGGCAAAGGGAGAAGGAGAGAGAAAATCTTAAGCAGGCTCCACACCTAGCACGGATGTGGGGCTCGATCTCAAGACCCTGAGATCATGACCTAAGCTGAAATCAAGAGTCAGAGGCTTAACCAATTGAGCTATCCAGGTGCCCCCCACTTTGCTTTTTAAAAATTTATATTACATCACTTCACTTTTATGAAAGACCTACATTAGTACCTGTTTTTCTAACCAGAAGAAATCTGAAGAGGATTTTTGCTTATTATGAAAAAAGGTGAAAAGCGCAAATAGCATTCAGTGTGTTTTGCCGCGAGCTGTTACAAAGGCATTAAGAGTGGCCTCGCCAAGTTGCTCCTCCACAAACTGCACTCAGCATCTCAGCATCCAGCCGCCATGGCTTTGAACTGTGTTTGTGAGCATCTGTGCTTTATTTTGATCTATTTTGTGTATCCATTAGCAAGATATGTCCTTAGGTATCAGGAAAGCCTAAGGGAGGTGACTTTTTGGGTCTGGGAACTCTAAAAAAATTTTCCATATAAATTAATGGTAATTGTTTCTTCACTTTACACCAATTTTAAAAGGCTGCATAGGGGGCACCTGGGTGGCTCAGTCGGTTGAGCATCAGACTTTTGATTTCAGCTCAGGTCTCAATCTCACGGTCATGAGAGTTTGAGCCCCTGCATTGGGCTCCATGCTGGGCATGGCACCTACTTAAGAAAAAAAAAAAAAAAGGTTTCTTAGGAATGATCTACTTTCTGACAGCAAGGAAACCTGTACACATGCACTGTAAACTACATGCAAATTTCAGAAATGTTTAACCATGAAGAACAGGTATGTCTGAATCAAAAAAACCAAGGTATCTATGGAGAAAAATCTGCAATTATTTATAGTTATGAGACTTTATTAAAAATAAAAATGAAGACTACCCAAGCTGTCATTTTTGGGTTTTTTTCTCTATTATCTTATACAGGTTATTTATTTTGCTTTTGAGTTAATACATTTACTTCATGGTATGAAGTCAGCCTTTTCAATTTTAGTATATGTGCTGCCAAAGCGAGCACTGAAGTCAGCCTTTTCTATTGCCTCTTCATATAAACATTACTTAAAGGACCCGTGTTCACTGTGATTAGCTTAAAAGCTATTTAAGGCCCTGGACCAGGAGACTGAAACTTCTGGGGTATGTCGTAGTCTGGTTCTATCTCTGTTCCTGCATTGAGTAGGAAGGTCAATACTACTCTATATTTGAGTAGTTTGAAGGGTCCCTTGAAATGACTGGCAGTAATAGGAAGTATAATGAGTAAGACCATAAAAGCACAAGAAACATCTAAAAAACCAAGACCTAAACGAGAGGTGTTAACATTTCCAAACTGAGGATTTGCTTAATTGTCCTTTGCAATCTAAAAGAGTTACCAAACTTTCATTTTTCGTTTCATAAAGCTTTTGATTCAAAGATTTTTTTTAATTTTTTTTAAAAGATTTTATTTATGAGAGAGAGAGAGCATGAGCGAGGGGAGAGGCAGAGGGAGAAGCAGACTCTCCACTGAGCAGGGAGGCCGCCCCAGGGCTTGATCCCAGGACCTTGAGATCATGACCTGAGCCAAAGGCAGATGCTTAACTGACTGATTCACCCAGCTGCCCTGATTTTCTTTTAAGTAGGCTCCTCACCCAGTGTGAAACCCAATGTGGGGCTTGAATTCAGGACCCTGAGATCAAAGACCTGAGCTGAGATCAAGATTTGGATGCTTAACTGACTGAGCCACCCAAGCGCTCCTCAAAGACCTTTTGTTTTTTTA